ATACTACGAACTTTCAGTGCTAGTAACACGAGCAGCAGCAACGAACTGGACGTAGGGACATTCTGCCCGAACCAGTATAATCCTCGTGTCCTCTTAACACACCATCCGAACCAGACGCGCAATATTAGAAATTTACTAGGCGGTGGCAACTCGAAACACCGACAGATACTCTCAGCAAAAGTAATTGATATATGGGATATGCCACTTTGGTGTACGTAGGGTAATGAACAAACTTTCTCAACTGAGCTTGTGCCAAAGGTTGGCATGATCTTTACTTCGGAGGAAGAAGCATACAAGTTTTATAATGCATATGCCGGAAAATTTGGCTTTAGTATCAAGAAGTGCCACACTAAACATAGAGCAGATGGCACACTATCTTCGAAGTATTTTGTTTGCAGCAATGAAGGTCACAAGAACACTAATCGAGAATATCAACCAAAGAAAGAGCGTGCTTCAACAAGGACATGCTGTAATGCTCGTGTCCAATTCTATGTGTCACGAGAAGGGATTTGGACGATGCAGAGAGTCATACTCGCTCATAATCATAGTTTTGTAAGTCCTGACAAGACACACATGCTTAGATCACAGCAGCGTATGACAAAAGCGGACGAGCATATCATTAGCAAAATGCGGCAAGCTGGTGTTAGGCCAACTGAAATATATGATTTTTTTCAACGGTGGTCAGGTGGAGCTGAGAATGTGCAGTTCTTGAAAACGGATTGCAATAACTTCATTGGTCGTGAGCGTAAAAGGTACTTGGAAGCCCAAGATGCACAAACCCTATTGGAATATTTAGAGAACAAACAAGTTCAAGACCCTTCTTTCTATTATGCTGTGCATTTAGACAAAGAGGATGGCCGAATATGTAACTTCTTTTGGGCAGATGGTCAGGCCATTGCAGACTATGCTTACTTTGGGGATGTCATGTGCGTTAACACTACATTTCAGACAAATAAACCTGAAATGCCTTTTGCTCCTATTCTTGGAACAAATCATCATAGGCAAACCATCATTTTTGGAGCTGCACTATTATTCGATGAAAGTGCTAATTCATTTGTATGGGTATTTAGAAATTTTTTGAAAGCAATGTCTGGGAAGCAACCGGTCACCATTTTCACAGATCAATGTGCTGCAATGGAAAAGGCAATTAAGCTTGTTTTTCCAAACTCAAGCCATCGCCTTTGCCTATGGCACATATACCAGAATGCTGCAAAACACCTTGGCCAAGTAATATCCGATAATGAGGATTTTCTAAAGGACTTCAAGTATTGTGTATATGAAGAAAGATCAATAGCGCATTTTAACAAGAGGTGACAAGAGTTATTGGCTACTTACAGCGTTAGGTAGAATTCATGGTTGCAAAATTTGTATGCACTACGTGAGAAATGGGCCACCGTGTCTCGTCGTGATTCGTTTTGTGCGGACATGACATCCACTCAAAGAGTGAAGGTATGAACAATATATTTAAAAGAACTTTTTACAGAAAGCTCTCTATTTCAGAACTCCTAGTGGAATTTGACAAGTGTGTTGCACGCCTTCGTGGTAATGAGTTATATGAAGATTACAAATCAAGGAGTTCAGAACCGGTTCTCTGTGTTAGTAACTTACCTTTTATCGGGCACCAATACTAAGTACCCGAAGAGAAGAGGCTAATGGTCATCAACATTGATTCGTCCGAGTAGTCAAGAGCACGACTACAGCTCCAACCGACCCCCAGGTGCGCGTGCTCCGCCTCGCCCGACCTCTGGGGAGCGGGCTCCGCCTCGCTCGACCTCTGGGTCGGGGGGCCCGCCTCACCCGACCTCTGGGAGCGGGCTCTGCCTCGCTCGGCCTCTAGGTCGGGGGCTCCGTCTCGCCCGACCCCTCAGGCACGACCCCTGACGGAAGCCTGTACCGCCACCAACCACTACGGGCCAGAAAGTACAACCCAAGGTTAAACTTCTGGCATCATACAGGGAGCGGGCACATCTCAACAAGACTCGTGCCCGCGACATGTCGCTCTTGGGTACTCACATCACCAACAGTGACGGACACGTGGTCACTATGTTGCCTACTCCCTGTATGGCCGCTGACCAGCACGCTGGTTCGCCGCGTCGCCCGCCGGGACGGAATGGGACATCACGACCCGCTGACAACGTCGGGGCGTGGCATCAGCGGCGAACATGGGCCCCGCGTGGAGCCGTCCCTTCACCGCCTGCAGTGTCGACGGGACCCGCTAAAGGAGGAGAAAGGCCCGGCGGTCTTAAAAGCCTTCCTCTCCTTGCCTCTTCTCCCTTTTTCTCTCTGTGTAACCTGCTCTTCCCCTTCGCCTATAAAAGGAGAAGCAGGACGTCCCAGGAGGAGGGCGGTTCACCGCTCTACACGACTGTAGACATTAAACACACGCCCTAAGACGCCTTAGGAGCACACGCACATCAAAGACTTGGGACATGTCCCTCTCTCGCTTGTTTATAACCCCTACTACAAACTTTCAGTGCTAGTAACACGAGCAGCAGCGACGAACTGGACGTAGGGACTTTCTGCCCGAACCAGTATAAACCTCGTGTCCTCTAAGCACACCATCCGAGCTAAACACGCAATACTAGAAATTTACTAGTTGGTAACTCGAAACACCGACACCTTTGTTGAAGGCAGCTGCTGAATCATATACAAGAAATTTGTATAGCATTTTTGAGGAGGAATTCAAAAAGTAGTTTGTTCTTTCATGCACATTGCTATCTCACGAAGGGACAACAAGGTCGTACAAGGTAGTATCCATGGAGTGGAGTTGGGATGAAACTACCGTCACTTTTGATTCAAATGATATGCAAGTGTTTTTCTCATGCAAAAAGTACGATTGTCTTGGTAAGTGCATGTCACTAATAAGTTGTGCAATCTAATTGTATCAATATGGCATATCTAATAGTTCTTATTCATGCAGGTATGTTATGCAAGCACATACTACGAGTCTTTAGCCAAAACAGTATTATCAGTTTGCCTCCTAGGTACATATTGAGTCGATGGACAAAATATGCAAAAAGAGGCATCCTTTCTAATAACAAGCAACATGAGCGTGATGACTTACCAGCTCAAAGTGCACTTCTCTCCCGAAAGATGATATCAGTTGCGCTGAAATGTGCAGTTTCAAAAAAGGTTCTGCAGCACTTAGATGATGGTTTTGATAAACTGACTTTAGAAGTCGATAATTTATTGAGTCAGATCAACTTGAATGAGAAAGAAGCACCACAATGTTTTCTCAAGTGTACCCAAGAGGTTGCCGAGGAGCGCATATCATTTAGAGTACCTCCACACATAAAAGGCCCCACACTTAAAAGATCAAAAAATGTACTTGAAGGAAGAAAGAAAAACCTTCAACTAAAAAGAATGGAGGAAAGAAAAATGCTGCTACATTAAAAAAAGAAAGGTATGCATAATAACTTGTATGACATTTACAAATTTTCACTGTGTACCAACTGATTGTTTGCACATGTTTACAACAGATGATTCAAGGCAACCATCCAACATAAATCTACATGGAACTTAACAGCAGGCTGTAAGATTAACCAAAGCTCACGTCTTGTTCATTAACGATTTATTTCAGTTTGTATTTTGTTTTCATTCTGGCAATATAATTGGTCCAGGGTCATTTCAACTCAAATGCTACAAGGCCAACCTCTGTAATTGGTTTGTACGCGCTTTCTTCGACCACATCTGCTCCTTCCATCCAAGGTGGACTTACAAGTCTCTTACAACGAGTTGAGCAAATGGCCACATCGTCATCATCCGCTAGAAAGTTACATTTTTTATTAATAGCATTTTGTGCTCCCTGTGAGACTTGTTCTTATTTATACATGTCTGCTCCTTATCCATTAGAAAGTTAAATTCAGATGAACATATGTAACTGTGTTGTTATCAAAGACCACCTGTAAGATTTACGGTGTGTCTATTTCAGTTTCTTCACTGTAATCATTTTCAGCAAAAACAACCTTGTATACAGGATTCAACTCTGACAAGATGCCATATGTATTTCAGATGACAATTTACAATGTGCATACATCTTGTGCCATTTGGACGGCAACTCTTACAAAGCAATTTCAGAACAAAACCATTGGCTTTAGTAGCTTCAAGAGGAACATGCATGAGACTGAACCTCCTCCGGTAGCATCGCCATGGATCATTGATATAGCCTTTTTTTACCAATGCAGAGAGCTAATTTTTCAAATGACAGAGACACAACTGATCGCTGATTTATCCCCAGTGCATCAAAGGCCCTAGCCAATACCACTGTTGTTTTCCTACAAGTTCTGAATCTTCTCCAGCATCTGAAGTCCCAAATAATGAAATGAATCATAAGTTGCTGATGGAAGCCAAAGAATTAATTTGGAAATTGCAGAATGTGCTATGAGACGTACCTTGCCAGTTTTCTTGAAACAAATTCTCCATTTATAACTGGAACTGCTGTGCATAAACTGTGAGGGATTTCCTTGCTGCTTCAAATACTCAGCCCTCTGCTGCTTTGCCTATTTTGGCATATATATATATAGATGGCTATGACACAAGTTAAAGAGCTAAAACAATTACATCAATGCTGCATCACAGAAATGCATACCTTCTCAAGCTTTTTTCTATTACCTACTTTAACTTGCTCCTCTCAGTTTCTCTCTGTTTAGAGGCAGTCTTTGCAGCAAGTTGAAAACCCTGTCAAAGACGCCGAAAAGGTGCGCCGCAGGCAGAGCGCGTCAGCTTTTTACATGCACCTGAAAACGGCAATCAGTCTTTTGTATACACGGCCCCTATTTTCAGTTGTAACAATGTGCTGCAGCATGGGTGACAATAAAGTGTATATGAGCCATCCAGAGTATTGCAGCTGCAGTAGTACAGTAACCACAATTCACAAGCACTGGAAAGTAGCTGGAACAGCCGGCCAACATGCCAAAAGGGATAAGACAGAAGTCTCGATTAAAATTCAAACACAGTTGGAGATCCACCATGTCATCCAGGCATCCAGCTACTACAGCTCATCAGTCTGGATCACTTCCCAGATCTTCTGCTTCCTCATTATCATCCTCATCCACCTCTTTGTTTCCTGCCTACAAGTTTGCAAGATGAAGAAAAATCATTCACAAATTTACTGCACATTACATGTTATCTCTATATAAGTTTTTCCATGTAGCAACTGGCAGCTAAAAATAAAGAATTCCATGGACTGAAAATCAGGTTTAGTGGCATGCCTCAAATTTGAGTTTATTAGCCATGGCTGTAGATAAAGCATCCACCTCAAGAACACCCATAACTGAACCAACAATTTTAGAATCTGAAAACAAAAAGATGAACATAGGAAACTAATCAATGCCTTTTTGCTTGCCGCATTTTTAAATTAACACATAAAAAACATGACTGAATCATCACCTTTTCTTGCTGCCACTACCCAATCTTTGGTGCAAATCAATGCCTCTACCATCTCGGGATCAAGTCGACTACGGTAAGGATCAACAACACGACCAGCAGCACTAAAAAGCAGACTCGGATCAAGGTCGTCATCTATATTTCCCATTAATACATCTGCTGTATCACTAGGTCCAGCTGCTGCACTACTATTTGATTATTGAGGAGCAGAAGTAGTTTATGCATCATACCTTGTCATAAAAAATGCATGACTAGTGCACTATTGTAATGAGCAAATGAATGTGAAACTACTGTCCCAAATGGCATGCAAAGAAGTGATTGACATATGCAAGCAAAACATGAATGGAAGAGTACTAAATTTCACAGCAATAGGGGATGCCAAGCAAACAAAGCTCTGTGGAAAATTTAAAAAGCCTGAACATTACACAGTATAGTTGTTATCATTGTGCTCTCTAAACTTTAAGTTACAGAAATCATTATAGACCAGTCATTCAGAAACAAGACTATATCAGTAGATAAAATTGTGATAAATAGTTGGGAAAATAAATCTGAACAACCAAATTTTGGAAACCCAGCAGAGAACTGGGTAAGAGTAAAATAAGGGGAAAACATTCAGACAATGTTTCACCTTGCCTTTCTGCAGGAAGAGGAGAACTATCAACTTGTTCTACTTGTAGCCACTAACTGCTGGTCAAGAACAAAGTGGGCCAGAACAATGTATTCGTCCATCAAGAGAACTTCATAAAGATAGTATTGACAATCAAAAATTGAAGTGATTTTTTATTAGAATGGAAAATTATAGCATGGCTCAAAAGCAGACAGACCTTTCTTAATCAGCCCTCCAATTAGATAAAGAGAGCTGTCATTATTGATTGATGCATGTGAATATTTATAGGCTAGTTCAAAATTAATCCAAACTGAAACTTCCACGCAATAATGAACTATCAATTTGTATTTACCTTGGAGAGGGCCATCGGCTCTCTATATATAGGAGATTGGGCGTCGACTTCGACTCTGTGCACCACAACGGAGTAGTAACTGTGTCAAATTAGTGGCAGTGTTTCAGCTCATCTTGTGACAAAAGTGATACTAGTGCAAGCAGCACAGATCAAAGGGATTCAGTTAATTAGATTTGATGTGCCTGTTAACATGCCATTTTATCGATTTAGTCAGACTTTACATTACTTCAACTCAGAAACCAGAGTCAATTAGACATTGGACTTGAGGACAAACATAGAACAAAGAAAGTTGTTCTGGATTCGAAGGAATAAATGGTCTTGCTAGTATAATATATGGCGTATGTTCACTTGTAATCTGTGAGAGCTTAGTTTTGTAAATCTTGCAAAAAGGTAGAGTATTATGTGTTGAAGGCAGTGTGGGAGAACACGTTTCATCGGGAGAAATGTGGTGTATGATACGGATCAGGTATCATCGATGTATAGCAACAAGAAGCTATGGATCAGGTATCATCGAAGTCAATGAAGTGGCTTACGAGGGTTCTGTTTGGATGCAACTAAATTCTATTCCATTCTACTCCGACAGTAGACGCACGTGGATTAGGATGGATACACGTGCATCCAACAAGCCCTAAGCCCGCGGGCGTACCTCGGCGCCGCGGTGGCCAGCGAAGACGCCGAGCAGATGTGCCGGCAGCGGAGCGCGTCGGCGTCGACGCCCAGGCCATCGAGGTGGCGGCGGCTAGCGAGCAGGCACACCGGCACGTCCGCGAAGCGCGGGGCCGGGCTCCATGGGGTCCAGGCAGATCGGGCAGAGCGCCGCCGCCTCCTGTCTGCCAGTGGGCGCTGGCACGGTGACCCCGCCTCCGCTCGAGCTCCGCCACGCCCGAGCGAGCCCGCGTACCGACGGCCTCCGCTCAAGCTCTGCCACGCTTGAGCCAGCGGCGGCCTCCAGCACGGCGACCCGTGGCCCATCTCGGTGGCTTCCGATTGAAGACAAGGCCTGTAACGGCGTGTGCGTATTGACGTTGAGATAGAAGCGGTGGAAGTTTGCTTTAAGATTGATGCAATGCCACGTGTCAGCCAAACGACGAAGAACGGGTCTTATGAACAGATGACGACGATGCTTTTCAAAGGACATAACCCTGACATTACCAGACTACTGGTGCTGGGCCTGTTTGGTTCTCTAGTCCATGGACTAAAGTTTTAGTCCACTTTAGTCATGAACTAAAAGTGACTAAAGTGGTGTTTGGTTTCTTGAGCTAAAATGGACTAAAGTCATTAAATGATGTGGAAGAAAGACTCTTTTACCCACTCTTTTATCCCCGAAAAGAGAGAGGACAATAAATGAGGGGCATGGGTGTCCCCAACACCTTTTAGTCCATTTTAGTCCAGTTTTGTGGACTAAATGACTAAAGAACTTTAGTCCACTTTTAGTCTAAGTGTTTGGTTGTTTAGTCCAACTAAAATACAGGTTTTACTCCAAAATGCTTTAGTCCATAGAAACCAAACACCCCCTTTCACGAATAATTGTCGCTTTCTAAGGATAATATGTTGGATCCAGACTGTTAACTTTTATTAAAAAAAAAAGTAAGGCGCGATTCGACTTGGTGCAGACTTCAAGATCATACTCTACTTAGTATACATTAGTGACAACAAACGTTTGATAATTAGAAAATATTTCTAAATACAAATTTACTGTAACATTTTTGTGGCACAAACTTTTTATATGATTAAACCAATAATCTAAGGTGCTAAGTTTGAATGTTAATAATATTTGCTGGTCTTATGTTTTGGGATTAGTTAAGGAATTCTGCTGACCTACTAACTAAACATTGTTTAGATTTCCAGCTCATAATTTATAGTATTAAGCCTAGGAAAGCTAGTTATAGCTTGTGCTATTAGAGACTAATAAGCACCCTTCTCCACCAACTTTGTTCCACAAACTTCATCATAGAGCAATTCCAAAAAAAAAACTAGAATTTCTAGAGTACCTCTTTAGGTTCCCTTGTAACTTTACCTTTTTTTTTCTCTAGAGTAGAGTTTGTGAAGCTGTACATATTTAGCTAAAAGTACAAGTATGTATTAGGAGAAGTTGTTAGTTAACAGAAACTCCCTCCGTCCTAAAATAGAGGTTGTTATGGGATGCGTGTAAGTCAAACTTTTTTAACTTTGACTAGATTTGTAGATAATGCGTACAACATTTATATCTCCAAATAAGTTTATTATGAAAGTATATTCAACGATCTACATAATGATACTAATTACGTATTATAAATATTAATATTTTCATATATATATTTGGTCAAAGTAAAAAATGTTTGACTTCTCGAGAAGTGAGAATGACATCAATTTTGAGGCGGAGGGAGGATGCGCCGTTACCTCGCAAAGATATGGGCCGTTGGCTAGAAGTCAAGACTGTGACAGATATGGGCCCCGTTCGGCTGGCAGAATCTTGACTGAAACTGACTGATTATGTGAGAGAAAAACACTGTTTAGCTAAATGGATAAATAGTGCCACGTGAGGGGAAACCAGCCAGCTGGCTGATTTCTTCGGTCCAGCGAACAGCCGCATGATATACATGCATGGACCGGATGGACGTGCCTGATACGTTCGTGGTAAACCAACAAAACAAGTCTGTGGAAATACTCGGCTCACGTGCGTATGGCAGTAGAAAAAAATGAAGGGAGAAAATGCACAGAAAAATAGTCAAGGCCACACGTACAATAATGACCATAAAATAACATACTAATAATATCAAAGTAACTGTGTTTCGCAAAAAAAAATATCAAAGGCCTTGTTTAGTTTGCAAAAATTTTAGCGAAATGGTACGGTAGCACTTTCATTGTTATTTGGCAATTAGTGTTCAATCATAGTCTAATTAGGTTTAAAAGATTAATCTCGTGAATTTCGTCTAAACTGTATAATTAGTTTTATTTTTTATTTATATTTAATGCTTCGTGCATGCGTCAAAAATTCGATGTGACGAGAAATTTTAAAAAATTTTGTAAAATGAAGTGGAACTAAACCGGACCAAAGTAACTTCAGCCACGCCACGCACGAGAAAAGTCAACCCCTGCATTATTTGGAAAGTTGGTCAGTGCTTTGCTCCCTTTCCTATTGACAAAATGTTACCGCTGCACATCCTCTGCGGTTCATACGATTCCACGTGGCAGTGGCATGCATGTGTGGTGGGCGAGTGCAAACTTTACACGTGTGCGGTGAAGAGCTTCGGTTGCATCAAGTTTTGCTGGAGAAATCAGGAATCATCTGTGAGTGTATTTTTTTTTTAAAAAAAAGGCATTTGACGTTGTTGTAGGGTGTTTATATATGTGTGCACAAGTAGGTCAGGATTATTTCAGCTTCATAATTCATATTTTTTATTAGATACTGTACTGTAATGCGAGTATTCTAAAATATAGTACTTTCTCGACACTGCTGACTGCTGATGCTGCAGTAGTACTAGAAATAAAAGAGCGAGATTTATTTACTGGTTTTTTTTTCTGGTGTTCACGCGCAAACACTGTTTTTTTTAGGAAATGTCAGTTGACGTCAAAGATAATGGTGCCATGCTATTGTGTATAGGAAGAAGGTAATGGCGAACAACCATGATTGTGTATTTGTGTTGGAGATATTAATTTTTTTTTGCTACGCGTTCTTGAAAATTAAAGCTATAATATGCCCATGACGATTATTATATTCAGACCTGTTATTTTTCTGGGCAGCAAGATTCAGACTTGTTGGTTTGCCGTACCTGATGACGACCCAATTAATTAACGAAAGCTTCAGGAATAATGTTATTGCAAAGCAAAACGAGCAAGCCAATACATATAATTCGTCGAAGAAACAAATGCATACTGTCTTTGTTTGACGATGAAGAATAATGCGAGTAGTAGAGAGAAGAGAGGTGCATACATGCATGGTGGATGGCCGGAATGAACAGAAGAAAACTTACGATGATCTCGGCGATGACGCGGGGCTGGCGGAGCGCGAGGGCGAGGCCCCGGGTGAGGACGAGGACGAGGCAGACCTGCAGGATGATGAGCGGCAGCGAGAAGTGCAGCGGGTTGTCCCCCTGCCACACCCCCTCCGACGTCGCCGCGCACAGAGCCGCCTCATCCCCGCCGCCGGCCATCGCGCGCCCTCCCTGTCGTCCCTGCCAATGGCGCGCGCGCGCGTGTCGTTGTTTATTATTCAGTCCAGATGATGGATACGACGAGGAAAACGCAGTGATACTGACACCACTGGCTAGCTAGCTACCTAGCCAGCCCAAGCGAGCGCGGCCGGCCGGCCGGACATGGTTCTCCGTGAGAGCGAAGGGAAGAAGAGGAACTATAGCTAAACAAGCGCGTGCGCAGGCCGCAGGGGAGGGGGGCGGTGCAAAAATAACCAATCAGCAGCGCGCAGCTAGCGCACGTGTGACCGCGCCATCGATGGATGCATGGACATGGACTGTTGTATCTCTCACCTGACGGATCGGAGCGAGAGATACTCGAGGACTGAGGACAAATATAGCAGCCCCGCGGCGCCGGCGATGGGTGGAGCGAGGCTGACTGGCTGAGAGCTCGTTCGCGGCTAGGTGGAGACGACGAGCGAAGACGTGTATCTGTGGCCGAGTGTGATCAATGGGCTCTTGTATCAGCTCGCCGATCAGTAGCTTCTTATTTATAGAGGAGCAAACCGTGGCAATGTTTGTTTTCGACTGGCGGATCTAGAATTTTTTGTTAAAGGTACACCGACAAAAAGAAAAAAATCATCGGTAATGCTTAGGAGTTCGTCCGACCGGATGCCGCGCGCCCACTTCCGCCTCGCTGCTGCCCACTCCACGGGACTGACCTCTCCTCGTCGCGCGCAGCCGCGATGCCCACACCGACCGCCGAGTCGACGCTCCCGGCGACTCCTCTCCAAGCCGCTCTCTGATGCCGCACTCTACGCCTCTCCCACGCCGCGCCCTCCTCCCACCGTGCCTCTGTCCTGATCCCGTGCCCACGCGGCGGAGCCCGAGCACCCTCCGTCGCCATCTCCGTCCCGAACCCCACTTCCTCTGCGGCGTCACGGCTCCATCCTCCTCCACCGTGACTTAGCGCCAGATCCCGCTGTGCAGTGCTCCGCCCGCCCACCCGCCAGCCAAGGTTTGCTAAAAGCGCACGTTGGAAGCGTATGTTTTCAAGTGTTTCAGATGTTTCAGAGGTATGTTGCAAGTATTTCATATGAACGTTGTAAAAGTAGATTGAGATGTTGCATATGTTGCAATGGCTATACACATATGTTGCAAGCGTCTGGTTTAAATGTTTTATCTGTTTTTTCAGACGTATGTTGCAAGTATGTTTATTTGGATGTTACATATGTTTCATATATATATATATATATGTTGCAAGTGTTTTATCTTGATGTTGCATATGTTTTGCAAGGGCTTTTTCAAGTGTTTTCAGGGTTTTTTTTCAAGTGTTTCAGATGCATGTTTCAAGTGTTTTCAGACGTACGTTGCAAATGTTTCTCATATGGATATTTCAGAAGTAGATCGGGTGTTGCACATATTATAATGGCGCCGGTGGCTGGCAGACAGCGGCCTGTCGCAGGGCTTCGGCTCCTACATACCTCGCGCGGCTCACCTCACCCTCTCCTCTCCCTCCCCTCCCTTCCCTTCCCTTTTCTCCATCTCGCCACGACAGTTCGAGCTCGCGCAAGGAAATAGAGGGGCGCGGACAGTCCTGCGTGTGGGCTGGCGGCGTGGGCAGGGCGAGTCGCCGGGTAGCGCAGAATCCGAGTGGACGGGGCGCACGGCACAGAGCAGGAGCGGGAAACAGAGAGCAGCCACGGGCATCCGTCCGGACATCCGGGCACTAGCACTGCCGAAAAATAATATACATTTCGGTAAAACCATTTAACAAATCGGTAACAATTGTAAAATTTACAATGTAATTTGATATACATGTACTAATATTATGATAACTATTAAATTCAAGACTTTTGCTATTTATCTGTTGACAGATTTTTTTATTAAATATGTCAAATTTTTAAGCGTTTGACTGTGCTTTAGGATTTGTGCTACAACTATCACTATTGGATCGCATTTTAAAAAATCTGGTAGTTTTGATCATGTAAAATCTATCGACAGATAACTAGACACTCTCTAAATTCAATGATTAAATTGAAAAGATCAACAAATTATAATATAATAAATAGTTAAAACGAGATACTAACAGTTCAAAATATAGGTATAATGGGGAGGATTTGCAGTAGCAGTAGTAGCCGCCGCTGTCTTCTCAAAAAATATGCAATGTCTCTGCTTCTCTTTATACCTATAAAATACAATGCCAAACAATTAAATAAATTGCACTTGCACGGATTAATATAAACATCAGTCCTCACGTGTGATTACACAAGTGCTCACACAATATGTATTGAATTGTTGCAAACTCGGTCGTACGTCTTTGATGTTAGACGAATCCCTGATCTCGCTGCACGTGGAATGACTCAATAATATTAGCAATGAAAATTTTAAATTAGATAGGATTTTCTACAAGGAAAAAAAGAAGAAGAGGAAAGATCGGAGAATTGATTGAATCCCTGATCTCGCTGCACGTGGAATGTCTCGATAATATTAGCTCTGAACTAGTAAGCGAGTAAAAAATAATCAAATGTTTAAAGAGTTTTTTCTTCACTTAGTTTGGTGAGATTCTTATTCTTTTTCAGTCTAGCTACACTGTTTTTCAGCTATTACTAATAATTAGTATATATAGCACCAGATACACATCGGTAAAGTAGGAGTATAGTACTACTTCTCACAGTTCAGAGAACCTGAAAGTAGCTGTAGCCTGTAGGCTATATAAGCCTAGCTATACCATTGCTAGGTTATGTTGCACGTACACAATAACACAAGTAATTGGAACGTACGTACGGCCATGCACCACACGCGCACACTTCATCATTTTTTCGTTTTTATATAATGGTATTATACGTCATAGCCGTCCAAACATAACCCAACGTGTTTACCGAACTGCCCATGCGTGTGTTTCGGTACATGGGATGGGAATACGGGATGGTCAGTTTAATTTCCTACTAGTTGCTTCAGACTCCCTTGGAACAAAGAAAAAAATAAAACAATTCTATAAAAACGAAAAAGATGTTACAGGGCATGTTATTTTACTCTTTTTTTTCTATTCCTGTGTTTCTAGAACAAAGAGATCCTTAGTAATGTTTTGAAATAAACAAAAGATGTAACCATCACATTTTGCTAGGCCAGCAGCGCCATAAGACGACGATCACTTATATAGTGTTTGGTTTGGATAAGGAGGAATGGGACGGACGAGCGAGGATGGGGCAGCCCCTAAGAGGAATATTCCCCTGAGAAGAGTCGAAGGTGATATATCTGTAGTCTATGTTGTACCTGACAATGCAACTGTCGATGTTCTTTTATCGTTTTAAATACGTTTTGGACTGGTTCCCGAACGTTAGATCCTGTGGTATGTCCAATATTTTGAGGTTGATTCAGCATAAGAACTGCACTTTGGCTTCTGTGTTAAATATAGCTCTATTCTGCATCAAGTAGACCTCTATGCTGCATCGAGCCACTAGAGAAGACGATGAAAAGTTCAGATTGAATATTGTATCTTATTTTAGATTTTCTTTTCCATGTGTAATTTAGGGACATAAATATAATTCACTCCTCTCTTCGGGGGAAAAAGATGAGTAGACGACCTCCGTTGTAACCGGAGTATTAGCACCACTAACAAAATTGGAGAAAAGCCATATTAAACACTACCGGCACGTGTGTCTGCCAGAGCTAGATCAGACATCAGAGTACTAGCGCACTCGCAATCCTCGCCTACCGTCTACCACCATCCTTTCCAAGTTTCCAGTGGCACGATATACTAGAGTGTGTGTGCTTGAGCAAGCATGCATGTAGAGACGACTGGAGAAAAAAGACAAACGGTTTACTGTGATTTTTCAAAAAGAAAACCTTTTCTAAACAAAATCAAAAAGAAAAAAAGAGGAGAAATGTTTACTGCTGATCGTGTTTCAGAGCCATCATCAGTTGGCATGGTCGGTCGTAGCTCTCATAGCAACTGCTAGGAAAATGCAGTCCCAGAGAAGACAGACAGTAAGCCCCACTACGTACATACCTTGCCGACCGCCGGCTGGCTAGTGGTAGTGGGTAATTTACCTGGACGTCCAGAATTCGACCAGGTCGCGGTCGTCATGCAGAATTCACATGGAGAAAGATATATTGTTGGTCCACGACCACGCACCATCGATCTGCAAAGCTCCTGCACGAACTGCAAATGGGCGGCGACGTATCATAAGTTGGTGAGACAGACAGAGAAGAGAACCATGCATTTTCTCTCTCTGAAATCGCTTGGAAAATGCGCGCGCACGAGGGGTCGGAATTGCAGGCATAGACAGTAGCTAGTGGTTGCTTCATTTGCAAGTCCAAATTTTGTCCAGAGGTCTTCTGGCTCCTCCAAGGAAAACGGATCGGAGCTGGAAAATATAACCCCATTCAGCGCCTTGTTTAGATACCATCCAAATTCCAAGTTTTTTCACTCTCTCTCTATCACATTAATTTTTAGCCGTTTGTATGGAGTATTAAATGTAGGTAAAAAAAATAACTAATTATACAGTTTAGTTAAAAATCACGAGATAAATCTTTTGAGCCTAGTTAGTCCACGATTGGACAATATTTATCAAATAAGACGAAAATGGTACTATTCATTGGGTTCATTTTTTTTGCAAAGTGAACGAGGCCCAGCTATCTATCAGCATAGTTCAAAAGGTAACTGAAAATACGCCATGCTTTCACCAGAATCCTGACCGGAATCAGGCTACATATCACATCCATGCTGCTGAACAGCTGAAGTGCTGAGTGCGCGCTGATACGCAGATAATTCATTCTTCTTTCTAAAAAAAATTGGAAATAATGGGCAGTTTCAGGGTCTGCGTGCCTGCTGCCACCATACGCTCGGCACAACCTCGTGCGCAAGTCTGTCGCTGGCTCGGCGCGGCGAAGACCGGAGAAAGTTGCACCGGTTTTGTCTGTAAAATGAATAACATTTTGTGATAAATAAATTGAATAAATATATTACGAGGGGTGTGACCTTTTTGGGGCCAAACCCGTTCATAATTCAGCCCAAC